ACAAGTACTAGAATTTAAATGGAAAAATGGCGTGTATATTTATGCTAAGCAACTCAGTCCTGCAGAATCCATAGCAAATAGGTATAAGGTCTGAATGAAAACTATATATTAAAAAAAAAAAAAAAAAATCTTAAACTTCTACCTACAAAATTATCCCAATATTTCAAATGGACAAAGAGGGACGCATTAATTTTATTGATGTAAGTGAGGGTGTGGACAGGGGAGGGGCTGTTCTAAAAAAAATTAGTTGACTTACTAATAACAATTTATGCAACTAACATGTAATTTAGAACAATGCATCTTATTTACACAGACTGATTTCGAAACACATTCACTGTATGGAAAGAGCAATTACTGTGAGTATTATTTCTGCAGAACTCTGTAAATTACTCAGACACGGTAACAATATGGAGCTCCCAGAAAGGAAGGATGTTAGGCTAGAAAAGAGGGACAGAGGGATTTGTACTGAAAATAGGAACTTTCCTTCCTAAACAGGGAAACTTAGGAGGCATGTTTTGTGCTACACTATATATTAAACAAGCAATCATCCTCCCGTCTCAAATATTTTCCCCCCCAATTTTACAGTGTATTCTGTGTGGGAAAGAACTAGGAATATATCAGTTCTCAATGCGTTTCTGCTCCCAGACACTGAAAAGCCATTCGAAAACAAACAACGCCTTGCATACCAACTAACAAAAGAAGACGATTTCAACATCTTTGACATGATTTGTAAGTGTAAATTATTATTAGTCAATGAAAAATCTACAGTGGTCTACACCATCTGCATTCGGAATAGTTTTTTTCAAATAAATAGACACGCCAGACTAGAGATAAAAACCAAAACTCAAAGTAATAAAATGCTGATCAGGTTCTCTGTGTTCCGCCTATCATGGGGAGCCCAAGAGCCAACTGGCTGGCCACCTTAGGGACCTCCAGAAGACAAAGTGGGTGGCTCTGAGCAATGGAAGCAGGTGGCAAAGAAGCACAATGGTTTGTGCTCTTCTTGCTCTGCTCCCTTGCACACCCTGCAGATCCACTCCAGCTCCCCCAAATGTAAGGAGGCTGGCTGCACATAAATAAAAATGATGATGATGATAATAATTTGTGAGTGTGTGAGAGAATGTGTATATGTGTGACTGTGTCAGTATCAGTAAGTATGTGTCTGCAGTAAATGTGTATGTGTCTGTGAATGTCTGTCAGTGTGTGTCAAATCAGTGACAGTGTGACTGACAGGGAGTGTGTGTCAGTAAATGTATGTGTATCAGTGAATGTATATGTGTCTGTCAGAGTGTGTCAAATCAGTGAAGGTATGAGTATGTCAATGAGTATGTGTCAGTGAGTGTATGTGTGCCTGTCAGTGTGTGTCAAATCAGTTGTAGTGTGTCTGTCAGTGGGTGTGTGTTTCTCTGTCTATCAGGGTGTGTATGTGAATGTGTGTGTCTGTCAGAGTGTGTACAATCAGTGAGGGAGTGTGTCTGTCTTTTTTTGTGTATCTGATAGTGTTATGGACAAAATACTTGAAATGATAAAATTTCTTTTTTTACTTTTATACACTTGTGTTTATGTCTTATTTGTCACACATTCCCTAAAAGAATATCCTTGTAAGAGGGTCATAATTTCTTACACATGTGTGCTCAGTAACTATTTCCTCTGTAAATTCCTCCCATCTGGCTACCTTCCCCCCTTCCCATTGAGCAAGCCTCGTGTAACAAATTCCTGTGTTAAAAGAACAGCTTCCTTTGCTAACTCCTCCCCCACTTCCTTTGTGCAAGTTAACAGCTATGTGCCACGTGTAACAAAATGGAGAATCGCTGTTAAAGTAACTGTTTCCCCTTCAGCCCCTTTCTGTTCAGTAACTACTCACTCCCCCTTCCATCGTGTAACCAAGATGAAGCTGGAATGTGGGTGGGAGAACTCTGTAATGATGACATTACATCCTGTAGGGTGGGTTTAGACAAGACCCCTTAGACTGTTAACCAATTGTTGAATGTATACTGTATGTTAACTGTGACTCTGTACATGACGTATTTCTGTATGTTAACTGTGACTCTGTACATGACGCACCCCCTGCAATAAAGGCCACTCTGGAGTTCTTCATAAACCTGCAATGTGTCCGGTGTGATTTACTTCTAGAAGACATGCGCACAATCAATTTAGAAAGGATTAGATAGACAAATAATCAAACAGTTTGTTTGATCCAAATCAATAGTGTGTATCTGTCAGTGAGTAGATGTGTCAGTATGTGTCTGTCAGTGAAAGTGTGTGTGCCAATGAGTGCGTGTATGAGTCAGTGAGAGTATATGTGCTTAAAAGAATGAAAATGTTTAATTAAAAATGGATTTTGTAGGTAGAGGTTTAGGTGATATTTATACTGGTTACCCTCCTTGTGGTTTTTTTCCTTGCAGTATTTGCTGTTTTCAAAGATGGATCACCTGAGCAGTATTCCATACCATATATGTTTTCACACAATCTCTTTTAATTCACTATAGGCATTTGTTATTTTTCCGTATTTACCCATAAGATAACTATAAATAAAGTTTTGGGGTATTTTTTAATAATTTTTATTTTCAGGTCTACTTGGTCCTACTTGCTAGGATATTTTGGGATTTCTTCTGTAAAGTTTAATTGTGCTGATGCCCTTATTTTGAGATTGAAGATTTGTGACTGTCTCCAGAACCCCTCTCCCTTACATAGGGAAGGTGGTTCTATGGTCAGTATATTTCTTTCTATTTAGCATAATCAGCAATGTGGTTTCCTGTTTGTATTATTCCATTATACTACTACTAGGTACTAATGAAGAATGCAAGCTCAACACAAAGGAAAGATCAGCACGGGTAGATGTTGACGGGCTAGCTACCATAAATAAGACCATCACCAATAATTCTTTACAATTTTAACGTACACTACTGGTTTCCAACACAAAACCATGAAAATATAGTAAACCAGCCACCAAAACCACTCACATACGTCCTACAAATATGCACTATCTAGCAGGACCATTCACATAATTTCTTACTGACTGAAAGGTTTTGAACTACACTAATCACTGGTGAAGCAACACCAGGTTCAGACACCTTATAATGACATGCAGCACACTGTATAAGAGCAGTCCATTACATTTAAGGAGTTTCTTACTATCACCTTTTCCCCAGGAATATTTTCTCATCCACAAATGTCTCACCAACATGAAAGCAACGCAGCAAAAATTAAGGATACTAATCATCTCTTGTACTAGATGTACAAGGCATTCACTCTCGTCTGTAAGACCAACCACAGAACATTGCACTTTCAAAAGAACGTAAGGCGTGTGTCTCTTCAACAAGGCACCCTCCATCATTATTTAGCCTCCTTTACATATTCTTGCTCACGTTATCTCTCCTCCCATCATTTACTCCTTTAACCCCTTAAGGACAATTGATGGAAATATTATTTCAGAAGTTGTGTCCTAAAAGGGTTAAGGAGGGTTTACCCTGTTTACAGGGGCGGACTGACCACTCGGGCACTTCGGTCATGGACCGAGGGCCCGAGGCAGTCAGGGGCCCGGCAGCACAGCCATGTTCCAGCTGGAGAGATCAGAGATCTCTCCAACTGGAACAGCAAAAAATAATAAAATAAAACTTTTTAATTGATAGGTTGTGGGGCCCCTGATGCAGCACGGGGCCCCACAACCTACCGCTCTGCTAGTCACACCTCCCCCCCCCATGGAGACCTGGCAGCTTCACCTCCTCCCTGCCAGGTCTCCGGCTTCCTCTCCCATGCGGCTCTGTGTGATGGGAGAGGCGGGGCCAGGAAGTGACCTCACTTCCTGTTTACTCCTCTCACACAGAGCCCAGGAGGAGAAGGAGCAGCAGCCGGGGAGAGAAGAGGGAGCAGAGATGCAGGTAGGCACCAACCACCCCCTCCCCCCCCTCACTGTCACCAGTCACCACCCCCCCCCCACTGTCACTAGTCACCCCCCCCACTGTCACCAGTCAACCCCCCACTGTCAC